AAAAAAAAAAAAAAAAAAAAAAAAAAAATTACTGAGTCCTTCTGTCAAACCTTATGAATAAAAAGCTCCAGCTGTGGGGCACTTATTCAAAATTTTCAAAAATACTATAATATTGAATACACAGTCAGGTTTGAGTAATTGGTGATCTAGATGATTTCTAACAATTCTTTCAGCTCCGAGATTCTAAATGTTAGGCGCAGGATAATTAAGTGGAAAACAGGCTTAATTGTAGAGCATGGGCTCTGGAGTCAGAGTGCCTGGTTTGACCTGTGTAACCTTGGCCTAATTACCCCTCTTTGCTTCTAGTCTTCGTTTTTAAAATGGAGGTACTTATAGTACCTACCTTATAGGATTGATATGAAGACGATGCATGTGAGATAATGTACATAAAGCACTAGAACAGTGCTTGGCACTAATAAGTGCTTAATAAATGTTAGCCATTAGTGGTATTAAACTACCACCACCACGTCTGGAATGCCAGTGCACTGATATGTTGCAGAAATCCTACTTGCGAACAATGACATATAAACCATGACTGAAGCTGCTGGCCAGGATCATTCTCTAGGCAACACTAACTAGCTTATATGAGAACTTTTCTAGCCTTCTTAATGTCCAGTTCTATTTGAGCTAAATATCTCAGGAAGGGACTCAATCCATTGTATAAACTAATGCTTATACATTACTAACTATACATTAGTTTATATAAACTAATGCTTATGAAGCACTCCTAGTTTACAGTTTGTCATTTTCTCATTTATATACTTTACCCTTTAAGGTAAATTCTGTAGTTTAAGAAGCCAAGAGGCTTTTCTAAAGCAAGAATAAAACAAAGTTTGAACATTCCAACAGGTCAGCATATAAGGAGGCTTTGCCCATCTCATAATCTATGTTGGCTCCAATCTTCATTACTTTTTGGACTAGAACCCAAATGCCTGATTTCAAATATAAAGCTTCCTCTGTGAGAATATAGAACTTACGAAGTCTTTGGTTTTGCCTTTACCTGATAATAATACAAACATGCATTAGTAAAAAATACACACCAAATTAATCTCTTCTGCATTGAAATCCTCAGCCAGGAAAGCAGTCCTAGTTAAAACTTCATGGCGCTTCGTTTCATGAATCTGATCCAGTTTAGTCCCTATTACCAACAGTGGGATTTGGTTATCAGCAAACTGTTCCCGGTCATAATCCCTGTGATAAATAATAATGAAGAGGTGAACAGAATTTACCTTTCTGATGTAGATGTGTAATATTTAAATGCAAATACACTATTTTACAGATACTTCACTGACGCTTGCTCACCCATCACCTATAAGCTTACTTTTCTCCCACCTACTTGTTCATTTTTTCAATCAATCCTCACCATCTTTCAAGTCCCAACAATTAATTCAACTACTCAAAATTTGTCCCATGGGTCTTTATGACTACTTGAATAAACTGAGTGCCTACCAGGTATATGAAAGTAGGTTGACTTGACTTCTCCCAAAGCTCTGTCTTCTAAGGCTAACAGTTCAGGAATTTTTCTGGGTAGATGCAGAGAGTGGATTCAAACCTCAGTGGAGAGAAAACCCAGTACCCTAGCATGGCAGTCACGCCTTTTGCCAGAGGGGAAAATGTCAAGCTTATGGGTACCTCCTGGGGTATACTTAAGCTTTACACCTACCATACTCATTTCTGTCTATGAATAGTAAAGAAAAATAGATCATTTTAGGAAAATCAGAAATAGGAATGCTGAAGGCCAGAATAAATCAACCATAGGTAATGCTACAGCCTGAGGAAAGATGGATTCAACAAATGGAAAGGGAAAGAAACAACTGAAATGCAAAATGAACAGTAAAAGGAAAGAATTAAGTACCAAATAGTTGTTTGTCCTGACACGAGAGCTGTGGGACACACAGAACAGATAGTAAGAATCACTTAGGGTTAGTGGCCTTGGATCACTGTCTTTCTATTACTGAAAGGAGCATAGAGCCCAGTGTTGTTCAATTAATATAAATTCTACTCACATATGAGAAATGAAAGATTTGGAATTCTGACATATTATAAGCTCAGTTTATAACAGTCAGCAAAATCTGGTTGCAACACCTTATGACAGTAAATCAATATTGCATAACCCAATCAATACAAACCAGGTGAGCATATTTTTTTTCCTTCCTTTGACATCACTCTTCTTTCTCTTTGAATAATCTAAATTGTGTTTGTGTGTGCGCCCGCGCACAAGAACTTACCAAATCTTTTTGCCCTTCACAATAACCTTAGAGAGCCTCAGTTACTGTTCAGCCTTGGAACAAAATTGTTTTGAATTATGTTACCTCCCATTTCATAAAAATACTATCATTCTAATTACTGCATCAAAGCCAACAATAGTTTGAGTTCAAGGCCTTTGATTCTTCTTACTAACATCAATGTTGACTTAGGAGACATGGTCCAAAACTGAAATTTGCTTTATTAGAGAATAAAGTTTTGAAAGTGCCCTCCTTTAGGACATTTTTCCCCCCTATACTCTAACTCTGGCTTACATACAACTTTTTGTATATATTTTATCAAACATCATCTTTGATGCACATATTTGTCACTTGCAGTCTTTCATAATCTCTTGCACATTAACATATATATTTATTGTATATATGTAACATAACATATGTTGCACATAATATATGTATATTTACAATCTGTTCTCTTATTTCTCTTTTTAACTTTCCTTTTTCTCACTTTCTTTCATTAAATCTTATATCCAATTTGAAATTTGATCTCAAAATCCTTTTTTTCTTTTTAAATCATTAGGTAAAAAGCAAATGGGGAATTTTATCATGAATGGATAAGTCTGATAACACCTTAACATCACAAAGAGACAGATAACCAGGTATTGTATTATATGCTCAGTACCACTTAGGCAAAAACAAAAAACCTTGCATCTTTCAGGCCACGATATTTAACTACCATTATGAAGAAGATTAGGATTCAGAGAAACAAATAATGTTGGAACAACTGGACATACATATATAAAAATACACCTCAAAACCAAAGCCTCACACATTATAACTAACTCAAAACAGATCATAGATCTACAAGTAAACCAAAACTTGTAAAACTTCTAGAAGAAACACAGGAGAAAACTGCATGATCTGGGATTAGGCAAAGAGTTGTTATACATGATTCTAAAAACATAATACATAAAAGAGAAATTAGACTTCATCAAAATGAAAAACTATTGCTTTGTGAAAGATACTGTTAAGAGAATGAAAAGACAATCTACAGAGTGGGAGAAAATATTTGCAAATCAAACATTTTACAGAATGTTATTTTGGAGGGTACATTCCTGGGATTGCTATAGCATTTCAAACCAACTGTGAAGTAATCTGGGCTTACCCATTTGTTACCAAGACTCCAGTTGGCACCAAATCCCTGTTGAGAGCCTCCAATGACCAACGATACAAGTTTTGGGATGACTTCTTATTTGTTAAGTCATGGACTAAAATAATACCTAAAATAACCAAAGAAAATAGTGTCAATATTGTAACAACCCCTCTTCATTTCACAATTGGCAAAACATTAGGTTGCTACTGAATGCATTTTGGTACGACTAACAAACTCAGACACAATTATTTTAAAATTTCCTCTGTAAGTTCTTGCAAATAATTATTTAAAAATAATTATCTAAAAGCTTTTCTTTGTCAGTTATATAACTTTTAAAAGATTCCACAAGAGCTGATAGATGTCATTAAACTTCTAGAATGTCTTTTCTTTTTTTCTTCATTCAACACTTAATGAGTGCCTATTCTTCCCGGTCCTAACTACAGAACTACTTCATCAATAAAAAGAATCAAAACTACTTCAAGTATATAGGAAATTATATTCATTCAAAAAGGTTATTTTTTTCCACACTATGCATCTGTCATAGACATCATACATATACATATTACTTACACTCATTAAAATATTTAATAATAAAAATTTATTAAAATGGTATTGATTTAATTTGATACAATTCTTATTCTTTAGCTGACAAGATGTTTTCTTGTGGATCACCTGAACCTAATTAACTCAAAAGTCTAATCATTTAGTTCTTCAGATTAATGGCTAGATTAATGGTAAGCTTGCTCTACCTGTAAGAGATCTAGTTAACAAAGCAAAAGAAATATGCCACTAGAAGGAGGTAGGAAAAGATAGTCAAGAAGTATGAATAGTAGAAAACAGATGGACTTTTAAGAGATTGAAAAATAGCAAAATGTAATAAGGTTTAGAAATACAATTAAACAGAATCAGTTAAGATCCTAGACAGAAAGGTAAAGTAGGTTATTACAATATGATATTGACAAAAAAGGAAAAGCTTTAATGCCTAGTGAAATTTAGGGTACCATCTTGTGATCAAGAAACAATAGGTTTTTAAACCCCCAACCCTTGCCTATATTACCCAGATTCTACTGTGAAGAGAGAATGTGCAACTGATGATTCTTCCATCTTCAAGATGTAAATTTGAAAAAGAAGGGCATAAGAGTTAGAATTATTTGGCTCCTCTAGTTTTTACAGACATTGTGCAACTAAGGTGCTTGTGCAAATTATAGTTGACTAGTTCCAGTTAGCTCAGATAAATCTGTATCTCTCCTGGGATCTGGAAAAAATAGAGATCTGACACTTGCCCCCGTGTCCAACTGCATTCACTCTACCTTCCTCAATGAGGGGCTCTATTAGGCATTAAGGAAACATGAACAAGGATAGATTTTAAAAAAGGAATAAACAGTTAAAGAATATGGCTAACATTTATTCAGTATGTATGTGGTAAATATTGTGCTTTACGTGTGGCATCTAATTTGATTTTCAGAACAGTCCTGTGAGGTAAGAATTATTATCTTCATTTTACACATGTGTAAACTGAGGCTCAGAGAGGTTGAGTAATTACCCTAGGTCACATGGTAAGTGGGGTAGCCAGAATTTGAAATCAAGTATTCTGACAGTAAAATACTGGAGGAAGACAGAATAAAGTCACTTCAGGGCAAAGAAGTGGAAGATATTTTCTCCTCTCCTTATTTCCTAGGTATAAATACCACAAAACTATGGGTGGGTTTGGTTGGGAGAGTGAAAACATTACAAAGGCCTAAATGAGCTATCAGATGCACAGGGAGGAGTTTATTTTTTGAGGATCTCTATTAAAGGCTTTTGAGCTTTTAAGGGCATTGAGCACCTTTTCCTCATTTTCCTTCTTTCATTTGGGCTGAGAGTTCCTGCTTTGTAGATTATGAGCTAGAAGGGATGGGACACAGTGAGGCCCAAAGGAAAGAAGTCAGGGTGATAGCTGATCAGAATATGTTCTAAATCTTTAAAAATAGAGAGGTAGAGACACTTTACAGGTTTCCTTTGGGGATTACCAGCCTCATTCATCACAGTGTGAAGAGGTAGGGTATTGAGGGAAGGAAGTTATTGCTAAGAATAGACTGTATTTGAATAGAGTGATCCTTATGCTCTGTTTCTTAGAAAACTAAGGATGGTAGATGGAGTAAAGAACCTTGAATGCTTCTACCAAGAGAAATGTTCCAGAGGTAGGCTCGAAGAACACAGAAACTGATTTTTCTTTCTTTTTCATTGAAGTATAGTTGATTTACAATATTGTGTTAGTTTCAGGTGTACAGCAAAGTGATTCAGATATATATATATATATATATATATATATATATTCAGATTCTTTTCCATTATAGGTTATTACAAGATATTGAATATAGTTCCCTGTGCGATACAGTAGGACCTTATTGTTTATCTATCTTATATATAGTAGTTTGTATCTGCTAATCCCAAACTCCTAATTTATCCCTCCCTCCCTTTCCCCTTTGGTAACCATAATTTTGTTTTCTATGTCTGTGAGTCCCTATTAAGATTGCTCTTAATAGGGAGTTTTTTTTTTTTTTTTAAGAAACAGGAATATCTCTCAGTCTTACTTGTAAAACTAACATAGGATATATGAAATTACTTCAATAATATTTAAGGAAGACACAAATCACTAATGGAGAGTAGGTATAGAAAAGATAACCAAATAAATATGGATTTAGATGGATTTCTTCAGTACTTACTAAGCTTATAACTCAGAATTCCATAAAGTTTCTAGGATTTGAATGGTCTTTAACTTTATTATTTATTTATAATTTTTATCCTAACTCTTTGTCAAAAAGATCTAAACAGGAAAAGTGTTACTTATCCAAATTTTTCTTTGCCAAATAGGATTGATATCAACTTTGACAAGTCATTTGACTGATATAATCCAAGTTTATCACTTGATCCTAGGTCTAAACCAGGCTTCATTTCTTTCTCTCCTGCTCTTTAGCAAGTCACCTAATACTATACCAGTCTTATCTTACTGTTTTTTCATTTATACACATTCTATTAATATATGCCATTATCATGTACTTTATCATGTATCATTATGATGTCGTATATTAATGTCACCATCTTAAACTGTGTTTTGTTTCATTTATGAATTTTTTGTTTCTTCAATTAGATTGTGACACTTTCTGATAGAATTCCGAGCTAAATGCGACATAGGTCTGAACTAACATGACTCATCCTGTATTCTACAGTACGCATCCAATGGCAAGAGCCTTCTCTACTTTTTTGAAGTATCTACAACACCTTATGATATGGGATAAGATATTGAAAGAGGAATATAAGTAATGAAGATGGTACTGAATAATTACAATGCTTACTTAATATAGAATGAGATCTAAGCATAGTATAAATGAAGGCCAATTAATAGCTAAGCATCTACCAGAAAGGAAGGGGTAAGATACTAAATCTTTTGGTACATCAATCAAAGAGAAGTTGAAATTATATTTCACAGTAAAAAAAAAAAAAAAAAAAAAAAAGGTAAAAAATGAATTAAAGAAAAGAGAAGAAAATTCTATAGGTAAATCACAGGTGTCAGTAGTTTAGTTCCTGGACACAGAGTAGGCACTCTATGAACTGCAATGATGTCCTATTACACACCTCTACCTGGAAGTCTGCTCCAGGTGTTTGTATATCTATAACTGGATGAAATTTCTGCACCCCTAAAAACATCCTTAGGCAGCTTTTATAATTACACAGGACTCTAAGGAGCAGATGAAAAAAAATCTCAGTATCTCTGGGACATCTGGCTTAGACCATGGGACTCCTAATGGTATATACTCAGTTGACTGAAGAAACAGCACTCCCAGGGGACAGTGTTTTGGAAGGTTCCATGTTTTATGTCAAGTACCCAAACTATCTCTCAATATTTAGTTTATGACAATAATATAAATAGAAACACTTAGACAAAGCAAATATCTAATGCTCTGAAATACATAGTTAGAATCTAAAAATCACAAACTGGAATGTGATATGCAGATTTAAATTAAGAGTTGGAAGTATCTTAGATCTTTCTTAAATTAAGATGAGTCCAGCATTCCTCATCAGATGATCTGAGACCATTAATATATGGTAAAAATAAAAAATGTTTTACCATTTACAGAGTTGTAGAATACTGCTCTTGTGCTTTTCACACTGCTGGCACTGCCCACAGAGCCTCCAACATCCCAAAATTCTATATAGTAGGTCTTCTCTTCTGGGGTTCCTTCTTTGTAGTCATGAACCTAACAAATCAATCCATCAAAATAATTATTATAGCCACTAAGAAAACTCATAAACACCCTCATTCCAGTTTAAAGCACTGAACATTCCATATCAGCAGCTTACCCTCTGACTCTCTAATCACCACCTCCTGTCTTTGCAGCTTCCTCTCTCTAACACTCCAACTCTAATAATAATCTTTGACCCCAAAGGTCCCTATAGTTCATGGATCCTAACACCTTCCAAAGTGCCCCCCTTCCACTTCCAAACCTTCACTTCCTTCCTAACTAAGCATAAATTCTGCTATTCGTCATTTTAATCTCTCATTTACCCTTCCGTCACATAGTATTCATTAGACAAAACTCCAGCCCTGATTATATCCACCTTTTCCTGTATTCCATGTCTGCAACACAGCTAGCGAGTGTAATGTTCAGAAAAATATACATTCAAGCTAACTGGATTCATTTTAAATTCAAGTCTACCTTTGGAGCTCTCCTTCAATCAGTTCCATAGTCTATTTCCTCTTTTCCTCCCCTAGGTAACTATTTCACACTTACTCCTCTTTTTCAAACTTCCAATCTCTCTTCCTTGTCCTCAAGCACAGCTAACAATCTTGCTTCCAGAGACAGAAGCAATCAGAAGAGAACTCTACAACCTGCTCTTCCCTTATCTATCCACTCCCTGCATCTGTACCCATATAATCTGCTTTCCTTGCAGCTATTATAGATAAACTGTCTGTATCTCTAAGGTCAAATCCCCTTGTTATGCATAAAATCCCATCCCTTCTTTCTTATCAAAGAGGTACCTCTATCATTTCTCCCTTTCATCATCAAATTTTCCCTCTCTGTTGGATAATTCCCACCAGCGAACAACCATGCCATAATTTTTCCCATCTTAAAATAACCTTCTCTTGGGCTTCCCTAGTGGCGCAGTGGTTGAGAGTCCGCCTGCCGATGCAGGGGACACGGGTTCGTGCCCCGGTCCGGGAAGATCCCACATGCTGCGGAGCGGCTGGGCCCGTGAGCCATGGCCGCTGAGCCTGCGCGTCCGGAGCCTGTGCTCCGCAATGGGAGAGGCCACAACAGTGAGAGGCCCGCGTACCGCAAAAAAATAAAAATAAAAAAAATAAAAAAATAACCTTCTCTTGACCTCATGTCTTCCCCTAGCTGCCATACCACTTCTCTATTCCTTTTTACAGCAAGAGCCCTCCAAGAGTTGTCTCTTCTCAACTGTCTCTAATTCTTTTCCTTATATTCTCTTTTGAACTCATTCCTGTCACACCTTTTGTCCCAGTCACCCCACTGAAATATTCCTTATCAAGGTCATTAATGGCTTCCACACTGCTAAATCCAACAATCAATGCACAGTTTCCGTCTTACTCTACCATATGATAAAACTAATCACTCCTCTTTCAATACTTTCTTCACTTAACTTACAGGATACCATACTGTTCTGCTTTTCTTCCCACATCACTGGCTAAGCCTTTTCAGTCTCCATTTGGGTTGTCCTCAGCTCTCTACCCTCTTAATTGTTAGTTAGAGTGTTCCAAGGTTTAGTTCTTGGATATCTCACAACACTTGCTCTTTTGACAATTTCATCTACTCTTATGATTTAAAATGTCATAAATACGTTGATGAATTCCAAATTTATATACATCCTGGAGCAGTCCCTTGAACCTCAGACTACCATATCACCTAACTACAATTTGGATGTCTAACAGGCACCTCAAATTTAACATATTTAAAAATAATATCCCAATCTTCCTCCCAAACCCATTCTTCTTCCAGTTTTCTCTGATTCAGTAAAAGGCAATTCTAGCCTTCTAGTTAGTTGAAGGACCAAAAACTTAAGCATTAACTTAACTCTTAACTTAAAACTTAACTCCTTTCATACTGCATATCTGATTTGTCAGCAAATTTTGTTGCTTTTGCCTTTAAAAAATATCCAAAACCTGTTCATTTCAAACCATCTCAACTATTACCACCCTCAAAGCCTCTATCTATCCCTTTGCCTGAATTAATGTAATCATCCCCTAACTGATTTCCCCACTAGAGCCTCCCCTAACTGATTTCCCCACTAGAGCCTCACCGACTCACTTTCCCACCACCCTCCATTTGTTCTCCATACAGTAGCTAGAGTGATCATTTTAAAATGAAAGTTAGATCATATCCCCCTTCAATTCAAAACTCTCCAATGGCTTTCTTACTCAGAGTAAACTCCAAAATCTCTCTCTTTCTCATGGTCTAGACTCTATAAGAATTTACTGCTTATATTTCAGAAACGAAATCTGATATATGGCAACCTATATTAGAATATAGACAAGAGCCAGATTATAATATGGTGGTTCAGAGGTGTACATCAGAATCTTTCAAGATTTTTTTTTTAGAAATATACATGCCAACAAAAGCAAAAAATAAACAAGTGGGACTACATCAAATAAAACAGCTTCTACACAGCAGAGGAAACCAGCAACAAAGTGAAAAGGCATCCTATGGAATGGGATAAAATATTTGCAAATCATACATCTGATAAAGGGTTAATATCCAAAATATATAAAGAAATAATACAATTCAATAGCAAAAAACCCAATTTAAAAATTGGGCAGAGGAACTGAATAGACATTTTTTCAAAGAAGACAAATGGTCAACAAATACCTGAAATGGTGCTCAATATCACTAATCAGAAGGGAAATGCATATCAAAAGTGTGAGATAGCACCTCACACCTCTTAATATGGCTGTTATCAAAAAGATAAGAGATAACAAGTGTTGGTAAGCATGTGGAGGAAAGGGAACCCTTGTACACTACTGGTGGGAATGTAAATTGGTTCAGCCACCATGGAAACAGAATGAAGGTTCCTCAAAAAGTTAAAAATAGAACTACCATATGATCCAGCAAGCCCACTTCTGGGTATATATCCAAAGGAAATGAAAACAGGATACTGAAGAGATATCTGCACTCCCATGTTCTGTGCACAACAGCCAAGATATGAAGACAATTCAAGTGTCTGTCAATGGATGAAGGAATAGAAAAGATGTGATATACAGCCATGAGATGGAATATTATCCCATTATTCAGCCACGGGGTGGGGGGGGTGCGGGGGTGGCAGGGAGGAAATCCTGCCATTTGAGACAACATGATTGGGTCTTGAGGGAATTATGCTAAGTGAAACAAGCCACTCAGAGGGAAAAAAAAAAACAACTGCATGCTATCACCTATATGTAGAATCTAAATAAAAAGTTAAAACTCATAGAAACAGAAAATAGAAAAGTGGTTGCCAGGGGTTGCAGGGGTGGGGGAAATAGGGAGAAATTGGTATAAAGGTACAAATTTTCAGCTCTAAAATGAATAAGGTCTGAGGACCTAATGTATAATATGGTGACTGTAGTTGATAACACTCTACTGTATAACTGAAACATGCTAAGAGAATAGAACTTAAATGTTCTCACCAAATAAATAATAAATAAACATGTGAGGTGATGGATGTGCTAATTAACTGGATGGGAGGAATCCTTTCACAATGTGTAAGAATATAGTAAATCATCACAATATACACTTTAAATATCTTACAACTTTATTTGTCAATTATATCTCAATAAAGCTGAAAAAAAAAGTCCTTAAAAAAAAAGAAATATACATGTCAGACTTACTGAATCAGTAACTTTGGGGTCCAGTCCTTGGCATGCATAATTTGAACAATTCTCCAAATGATTTTGCTGTAACCTCTAGTTAAGAATTACTGATTTTATACAATGGAACTCTTGGTATCAGGAAGCCTAGACTATATTCATTGATTGCTACTAATTATCCCTGATATCTTTGAGTCTCAGTTTCTCTGCTTATAAAACGAAGAAGTTATATTCTGTATATCAAATGGCTCTGAAATAAGCTCTGAAATAACAGAAAGCAAGATAGCTGAATAGTTAAAATAGATGTCATAAAATGCATATATCAATATATGTTTAACAGAATGCTTCATACTTTTTACTTATTCACATTTGTTTTTGGTCCAAATCCTTTTGTCCAAGGAAAACTTTAAGTAAATAAGATATTCTACAGATAGCCACACTGACACTAAGAGAAGACAATTAGCAGACTGGCAACAAAGAGGATAGGACACAAAAATGACAACAGCAAAATCACAGCAGTTGGGGACCATTGTGGATAATAGAAAGTAATCTTGTATACTGTGATAAAAGGTATCACTATTTTGCTATAAGGCATAAATAACTGATAATATGTGAAAATGTTAAGTCATCAATAAAAAGGTTAAACTACATGAATTCTGTTTATGAAAGCAAGGAAATTTATAATTTATATTATCAAGATTTCTAAGCAAAACCACTGAAACGAACAATACAAGGTATTATAAGGAGTCAGTTACCTGGTATCAAAAAGCTCAACTACTTTAGTGAAGCTTTGTTGATCCTGCCACCCTCCCTGGCTCCAAAACCAATCAGGGCCAGTTAGGTACTCTTCTTATTTGCTCCCATAACATCCTGCACAGTTCTATCATTTCACTAACCACACTGTCTTATTTATCTGCCGATATCTCTTCTATTAGACTCTGAGCTTAAGAGCATGGACCATATTATTCATCTTGGTAGGCCTACAACATAGCATAATACCTAGCACATATTAGATGCTTTGATATGTTTAGTTAAATCAAGGAATAAATTCAGGATATATCATCCTCTAAGGTTTTATTATACTCAGTTTATTATTTTACTGAATTCCAGTGCTTCTCAAGTACAGTTCTAAGAACAAATTAAATCAGAACCAATGGGAAGGCTTATTTTAAAAAATACAGATTCTTGGACAACTCTTGAAGCTTCTGGGGTGGGGCTCAAGGATCTGTATTTTAAAGAAAGCTCTCTAGGTGATTCTCATACATAATTAAGCTGGGCAACCATTTAAGTACATCATTTTTTCTCTAAATTTATTTCAAATGTCTAATGTTTACAGACTGTAAACAGACTGTAACTCCTTCCAGAATAGCCACTATGTAATACAACTTCCAGGTA